TTCACACTTTCCACGCAGTAGAAGTAAAAAGTGCTAAAGGTCACACACTGATATTTTCAGTCATACCTAAATATGAATTATTTGTATTGTCAAAGTGAACTGAAACACATTAGAACTTTACATTAATCCAATATAACATTTCTGTCCTGCGGCATAACTGGAATTTTTTACTAAGGTTTATTTTACTTACTTAATTATACTGAACTATATATGCTGACATGATTAGTTAAAATTGACTATGTGCCACATATCTTATCTGACTTCTGAAAATCCAAAATAGTTTTTAAATTGGAGGGGAGAATAATGCAATTCAAATGTTACACAGAAGGAGATAATACTGTTGTTACATAGAAAGGGCTGTCTCTGACCAAAGCAACACTGAAAAGAAGAAAAATTGTTTTCATAATATTGTATTTAAAAGTACATATTATAATTTTTAATAGTTCTGGTTTGCATATCTTCAATAAACATTGCCTATATGTATTCACATTTCTTAACCAATTTTTTAGTTTTGCAATAATTCAACCAATACAGAACTACTTTTTCCCAGCCATCACTTATTAACTGTGTTTGTACTTAAAAGGACAAAATCTGATTTTTAATTAATTTCAACCTGCTTCTTAAATGGTTAAATAGTATTCTTTAATAAAAATTGATTATTTGCATTTAAAAACTTATTTATTTTGCAAAACACCTAACTTAAAAAAAAGTTTGGGCTTGGGTTATAGCTTAGTTGATAGAGTACTTACCTCACATACACAAAGTCCTAGGTTCAATTCCTAGAACTTTTAAGTCAAAAAAATAAAAATTATCGTTCATTACTTCCAAATTTGCTACACATAACTCATCCTCTCCTTTCATATTCTCTTTTTAGGAGTTGAAATTAACCAGGTCCGTTTTGATCTCAAATAATTTCATATTAATTCAATAGCTATATTGGGAGCTAGTATGAATCATTTGCTAAATTCTAATATTTTAAATTTATAAACTTCAGAAGGAAGATATCTTTTGAAGCTGACCAAAAAAAAAAATCAGAGAACAGAAGTCTTTTTGTGTGCTGCCCAGAAATTCAGTTACAAAGTGGTCCTATTGTGTTTCTCATAATTTACATTTACTTTTTTGGCAGAGCAGAAAGGAAAAAAGTAAGAAGTCAAACTTGGAGGCATATGACAATTATGAAAGACAGCATTTTTATTTTAAAATGTGCCCTTGACATTTAGATACCTACCAACCCAATATTAATACGTATAGGAGATAAAACAGTAAAAGAAATAGCAAATCTTTCTGTGATGTCACCAAACGGGTGTACCAATTTGTACCACAGAAATTGGATGAATCTCTTGGTGATGCCCATAGGAGGCCTTTATAGAACCAGTATTGACCTGGGTCTCATTTCCTCAGATATAACCAGAAAATAACCTGGGATGACAAGAGTCCTGGTGACCGATCTGTGCAGATCGGAGCAGACATTCTCCCAAACAGATCAATACTATCCAAGGTGCAGCTGAAAAACAGGATGGGCTTGTATCATTAAACAAACACCAAGCTGCTTATTCACAAGGGTAAAAGCAACACAGCACTTGTGTTTTCCACAGTATGTTTGCCAGTGACCTCAACCCTGACCCACAGGGCCACCCTCTGTAGGGCGAGAAGTAATCTTGTGTTGGGTCTTCCTCTGGTACCAAAGGATTCCTATGAGTGGTGTTTTTGTTTTGTTTTGTTTTGTTTTGTTTTGTTTTACAATGAAAGCTACTCCGTCTGCTTTGGCCTAACCAGGACAATTACATGATGCCAAAAATGGGAGTTCATAACCCACTTGAATCAAATGTATGAAATATGATGATGTCAAGAGCTATGTAATGTTTTGAACAACTAATAAAAAAACAAAAAAAAAACAAAACAACTAATCAATGCATGCAATCAATGTAGTAAAAAACTGCTCTGATAATTTGATATAAAAGAAATAGAATTTTTACTTTTTATCCATTTTAGAATTATGTGGATACATCTTGGATTAAATTAACTTAGAAAGTTTTATGACACTTTTTTCCTATGAAGTACATAAAAAGAAATAATTATCTGAATAAACTAAATACTTTTGCTCAAATATTCAGATAAATATTCTTTGATTAACTCCCCAAAATTGCTTCTATTCCAGATTTCACCTAGCCACAGAGGATCCTCCCCATAAAAAAAGTAATATTTGTGCATACTTGTATGGTCTTTTTTCATCCACAGATAACATGTAAATGAAGAAGATTTAATTCTAATAAGAACATGGAAAGTACATCACTATTTTCATTGTTTGGGGGTATTTAAAAAAAAAAGAAACTTCTTATACTCTTTAAAAAACAATCTTCCCTTGAAAAGTATTGAGAAAATAAACTATGGCTTAACATGTAACTCATATTCCTCTAAGCCAAATGACTTCTTATTCAACTGGGCACAATACAATATAAAAGTTTTGTATGCTCTTAGGGTAAAAAGTCTAAGAAAAAGCTTTTGATTTTGGTCCTTCCTGAGTCAGGAGATATATATATATATATATATATATATATACACACACACACACACACACACACACACTTAAAGAAGGATAAATAGAAAATCCTGTTAATTATGTTTGAGTCCTAAAAAAAAGTTTTAACAGCCATTGGTGGACATGAGATCCAATCATCAACCATCTAAGATCTTTTATGCATTTAGAATGCTTAACGTATTTTCCAGCCATGGATATATGGTTTGATAAATCTAGTTAAAACAGAAGGTTTGACTCTAGCTGCCAATAAAAATCAAAATTTGTATGGGGGGTGGGGGGGGGGGGGTCAAGTAACAATAACTGTTGGCTTCCCCCTTCCTTTTAACTAAGCTTTCCAAGGCGGCGGCGGGGTGGGGGGTGTAAAAGTTTTGAAGGATAGAAAAAATTCTCCCTCCGGCAGATCACTGCATAAGCACCATATCTATCTCTCTGAATAAAGAAGAAATAAATTCAACTTTGGAACTCTGCCATTAAGTGGCGGCTCCTGCAAAGGGGACAGTTTGCCATTAATTGTTAATGTCGTCTGCCATTAGAGGGCACTAAACAACTCTACATTAATGCATTGGAGGGAAGAGAAAAGGAGACGGGAAAAGAAAGAGGGGAGGGAGAAACGGGAGGGAGAGTATGGGCAGAGTCGGGGTAGAGGGAGGGAAAAGAGAAGACGGGAAGGAGTAGGAAGAGATGTGGGAAGAACTGGAAGGATGGGAGGGGAAGAGAAGTGAGAGAGACAGAGAAACAGACCAAATGAATCTGGAAAGATTAAGAAGGATGTGGAGCCCCCAGAGCCGTCTGAAGTGAGCAAAAAGCCAGCCTCCCCCGGCCGCCCGCGCCCCTCCCCTCCCGTCCTCACGACGGTAATTATAAAGCGAAAAGCGGCGGCGAGGTCACCCGTTTTTACCAGCCTGCTGCACCGAATGCGCGCGGTGCAGGTGCGGCGGCCGCGGGGCTTTGTGATTCATGCCCACTTTCAAAGGGGGGCTTGGGCTCGTCTGAGAGGCACCCAAACAACTGTCTTCTAATATTAGCACGGCTGTATTTCGGGATCTATTATAGTCTGTCCAGACAGATCCCATTGTAATGGGATCTTTTATTAAAAGATTAGCACTATCTCCTGCAGTTGGTGGAAAAAAATCTGTTATCACTGAGTTATTTGCAGTTGTGGAGGGGGTGGGAGGGAGCTGATGGAAGATGGGGGGTGGGAGGGCGAGAGGAGGACTGGGGGAGGGTCTGGCAGGGGGAGGGGGCTGGGGGAAAGAGGGCCGGATTTGAAATCCTTAGGAGAACAAATCCCAGTGACCTGCGAATGTCCAAGAATTTTGTCTGCATACTTGCTGTCTGGTGTCGTTCGGGCTTCAGAAGAGAAAAGAATAGAAATTAAAAAGGCAGCTTTGGAATAAACAATATAGCATTTTCCGTGAAGTAATCGTTTTATATAAAAGGAAATATCGCCTCCTCAGTTTCATTCAGCGGTGCCAAAAATGTTATAAATGAGAGACCCGCCAACTTTCAGCGAAGAATGCCAGGCACTGTACTTAATAAACTGAGGCTACAGAAGTTCATTATCGATGTTGCAATCTTTTTTATTCAGCGAGGAGAGAGAGGGAGAGACAGAGGGAGGAGAGAGGGAGAGAGGGAGGGAGAGGGAGAGAGAGATGGAGAGAGAGAGACGAGAAGGAGGAAGGAGACTGGGACGAGACCGAGACCCAGGACAGAAACTGGGGAGTCACGGAGCTGGGAAGGAGGGGGGCAGACCGCCTACGTCGGCGCCCCCGCTCGGGGCTGCGACTCCAGACACCGCGAAGTGAAAGGGGAGAAAAGAAAGGGAGAGGGCGAGACTGTGACTGTGACGGGGGGAGGCCGGGTCTGAGGTGTTAAACATTTTTGTTTGGTTCTGACTAGTGGAGAAAGAGGGCCGCGTCTCCGCAAGGGTGGAAGGTGTCAGGGCTGGGGTTCTCAGCAACAACTCTGGACTTGGGGTGGCCGCAAAGTCTGCACGCACAGACCCAGACACAAAATTCGCCGGGTCCCGCGCCCAGGCTGCGGGAGCCTGAAACTGCCGCGAGGCCCGCGCGTTTAGCCCTAACCCAGAGCGGGATGTTTCAGCAGCCCCGAGCTCTCCCGGCGTTTGCAAAGTCTTTCTGGAGCCGGGGAGCAGAGGGACAGCGGTGAGGGCACAAACTCCCGGGTTCCCCCGGCTCTGCCGGCCGCCTCCTTCAGCGCCCCCGCCGCGCCCGTCCCCACCCCCCAACACACACACACACACACACACACACACACTCACACACTCACACGCCACCCCGGGCGCGCCGGCGTTGCCTGCGAGCGGCGGCGTGCAGGACTGAAGTGGGTGTTCTTCCCCACTCCCCACCCCCGACGCGTCGCCCCCACCCCCCGCGCCGGTCGCCTTTCCCCCTCCCTCTCGCTCCTACGCAAATAAGAACTCCGCGATTCCCCTCCTGCTGCTTTGATTTCGAGCACCTCCGACAGATAATTGGGAAGGGTTTCCAGAGGTGGGAAATGTCACCTGATTCACACTGAACTTTTAAAAGCTCCCCACCCCCAAGGAGCCGCGTACACCCTCGCTCGCGGCCGCCCTCCCACAGCCCCACACACTGGGAGACCGCCCACCGCAAACCGCGGAGACCCCCGTCTAGATTTAAAGCGCGGCTGCGCCCGGCTTCTGACGTCCATTGAATCGCGCGGGCGGCCGGCGGCGAGCGCGGGGCTGCGCCGGGATCGCTGCGCCCTCCGCCGCTCGCCTCTGCGACGCGCGCCGCTTGCCCGAGCCACCCGCCGCCGCGCCCGCTCCCCGCGCCGCCGCGCTCCTCGCCCCGCGCCTGCCCCCAGGATGGTCCGCGCCAGGCACCAGCCCGGCGGGCTTTGCCTCCTGCTGCTGCTGCTCTGCCAGTTCATGGAGGACCGCAGCGCCCAGGGTGAGTGAGGGGGGGATGCGCCGGCTAGGCTGGGCAAAGGGCAGGGGATTCTACTTTTCTGTCGTCTCCACTTGGTCTGTTCACAACAACGCTGCTCTTGGAAGATGTTGGACCAACTTAAGAGACTCCGGGATGGAGAGAAGTGAAAAAATTGAAGGAAATGACACTTTAGAGCTAGGAAAGGAGTTTGCAGCTCGATTATCCTTAAAAAGGGAAAGGGAATGAGCTAGAGTCTCTCAGTAGTTAAGTGTTAGATGCTCCAAGTTCTGGCCACGGTGATTTTAGATGTTATCTCTGGTGGTTGGCTCTGAAGAGAGGAATAAGCAAGCATCAGTAGCCTGGACATTTCAATAGACCCATTTGCAATCTGACCTATCTTCCTCTCACATCTTTTGGTGACTTTTAAAAAATGACCTGGGGTGGCGAATAAGGAAGAAATACCAAATTTTCTTGCGTGGCTGGAGGACATGGTTTCAGAAACTTTGCCCAAACTTGGAAATGTGGGTGCTGAAAATTTTAGAGGGAAGTAGTTTTCTGCTTAGTGGATGCTCCTTCCTACCCCCTCCCCCAACCCCGAAAAAAAGGGCCAAATTATTACCCCCGAAGTATTTTGAGTACTTTACAGTTTTTTTTCCCTTTTGCCTCATTGCTCTGTTAACTTTCTGTTCAATAGTGACCCCCTAACAACTGACTTAGATTTTGACATAAATTAAGAGGAAATTTCTGAAGTTTATCTTTTAAAACTTGACTTGTTTTATCTCAATTAGTCTTTGGAGAGAATTTTTAAAATAATGATAGTAGCAGCTTGCGGTCCAATTATTGTTAAAGTTGCATTGGTGATTCATGAAAAGTCCTCCTGCCCAAATTATGAACATTGAAAAGAGGGAAGAGGGGAGAAACTATTTGCAAATATTTCTTGGTAGGTATGAGGTAGGTATATATAACCATGAAATGGTTTAGAAGCACCCACCCTTTAACGAGTTACTTTCCCAGCTTTAGAGTTCACATTTTGTGCGTTGTAAACTGCCATTCTGAGCACTGCCCCTCACCGTCTGTCCCGCACCGCTGTGGTCTGCCCGCCTTTCGGGTAGAGGTGCTGCCTTGGGTGCTGGGAAGGTGGGCGCCAGGGAAAGCAGCCCTTGGAGATTTCGAAAGATCGAAGCGGCTGCGGTATGCTACGGGTCTGACGGATTGCAAAACGGCCCGTCGGGCGGGCTGCGCCTCGCCTCGAGGCCGCTCAGGGCAGCTCCAGGCTGGGCCGGGTTGCTTTTTGCTTTCATTTTTCACAAATGCCTTTTCTTGATCTGTCCCTGCATGTCTCTGTCTCTGTTTCTTTCTTTCTCTTCTCTCTCTCTCCTCTCGTTCTCCTACTTTCTTAACCCCTGTCACAAATAATTCCCTTACCGCCTACATGAAACCAACATGTAAAAACATCCGTCGCATCCTGTTTTTGTCAGGTTCTTTTAATCTGCTCTTCCAGTCGCTGCAGGTTATGAAATGGGACGAATAAAAGTAAACAGTCTAGTAAAAGTCAATGCAAGCTGCACGTGTTGTGTCTGGGTCACTGGTAACTGACATTGATATGGCTAGGGCGCTCTGGCTTCTCCCTCTCGCCCTCCCTCCCCCTCGCCCACCTCCCACCTTGGTGAGCAGGGCTTCCTTTCACCCGGTTTCTCACCTCTCCACCCTCTTCAATTTATTTTCTGCTTTTCTCCCCCGTCTGTCTGTCTCTCTCTCTCCTCCACCCCCACCACACCCCCTCTCTCCACGCTTGCCCCCTCCCCATCTGCCTGGGGTCTTCTTTGCTCGCGTGATGGCAGACTCCCTCCCCTTATCCCATGGCTCACTCATTCACCTCCCCACCCCTGTCTCTTCACAGCTGGGAATTGCTGGCTTCGCCAAGCCAAGAATGGCCGTTGCCAGGTCCTGTACAAGACAGAACTGAGCAAGGAGGAGTGCTGCAGTACTGGTCGTCTTAGCACCTCATGGACAGAGGAGGATGTGAATGACAACACGCTCTTCAAGTGGATGATTTTCAATGGGGGTGCTCCTAACTGCATACCCTGTAAAGGTAGGGCTCTTCCTCCCCAACTTTCAAGCCCTCAGTAGAGGGCGTCTAACCCTCAGCTTCAGCACTAACTAGCTAGGGCTTGGGACTAGGAGAGCTTTGTTGGTGGACTCTCCCATTTTTCCCCCAGCTCTCATTAGCTGGGTCAAATCCAGCCTGTTACATGCTGTAGGCAAAACAAGGTCTGCAGAGGTCCCATGTGGTGGTAAAACCAGCCAACATGTGCTTTTTGAGATACAGGCTGGTCCAGATCCACAGTCCTCACCCCTTAACCCCCTCTGAGTCTTCTAGGAAAGGGCTTGATGGGCCCCTCCAGCACAACCAGGGTTGCAAGATTTCGCAAGGCTTGTGCAGCCCTCCTGGCTGACCTGGCCACTGCCTGACCCTGGTTTCTAACTGTGCTTCTCTCCAACTCCTAGAAACATGTGAGAATGTGGACTGTGGACCCGGGAAAAAATGTCGAATGAACAAGAAGAACAAACCACGCTGCGTCTGCGCCCCAGATTGTTCCAATATCACCTGGAAGGGTCCAGTCTGTGGGCTGGATGGCAAAACCTACCGCAATGAATGTGCACTCCTCAAGGCCAGATGTAAAGAGCAGCCAGAACTGGAAGTTCAGTACCAGGGCAAATGTAAAAGTAGGTCCCACCCTTAAACAAGACCCCTACTCCCTTCAGTGTTCTACCTTAAGTTGACACTCTGGAAGACCCCTGTGGAATAGGATAACCATAGTGAGATCCTAATAATAGCAATAATGATAATAGTGATACCAAATAAAGGCGTCCTTTTCTTACTTCTAAAGGGTCATTAAGTTTGCTGAGGGAACCAACTGAGAGCCATATATGTCCTTTTGAAAACTACCAGGCTCCCAAAGTACCTTTTTGTATGTGAGGGGTGGGGTACTAGCGATTGAACTCAGGGGCATTCGACCACTGAGCCACATCCCTACCCCTGTTTTTGTAGTTTATTAGAGACAGGGTCTCACTGAGTTGCTTAGCACCTCGCTAAATTGCTGAGGCTGGCTTTGAACTCGTGATCCTCCTGCTTCAGCCTCCTCAGCCCCCCAAAGTACCTTTTGAAAGCTGAGGCTTCTCTCTCATGATTTCCTTGATATTGCCAAATGCTTACTCCCCAAGGACTAGAAAGTGCCTATTGAAATGTTTCCTTTTTTTTTTTTTTTTCCAGAGACCTGCCGGGATGTTTTCTGCCCAGGCAGCTCCACGTGTGTGGTGGACCAGACCAATAATGCCTACTGTGTGACATGTAACCGGATTTGCCCGGAGCCCACCTCCTCTGAGCAGTATCTCTGTGGGAATGATGGAGTAACCTACTCCAGTGCCTGCCACCTGAGAAAGGCCACCTGCCTCCTGGGCAGATCCATTGGATTAGCCTATGAGGGAAAGTGTATCAGTAGGTATTAAGGAAAGAAAAGAGATAATAGAGGATTGAAAAAGCTAGTTCTGTTATTAAAAATGTGGATTTAACCATTGAGTAGTCCATGACTTCCCCAAATGCATAGCTTCAGCAGAGCAAGCAACACTTCCCAGTTTGGGTAAACTGTTTTGACCACAGCATTCCTTGTGGAAACCATTGTCTTCTGGAAGCAATGACATATATATTCAAATGCCAGCAGGAAGCAGAAAACAGTATTCCATCTTAGAAAACTTAGAACTACACAATCTTGCACATTTTTTGAAGTGCTAGACTCGCTAGAAGCAAAAAGTAATTATTTAACAGTTCCTAAAATCTGTTATCAGATTCCAGTAGTTGATGGAATTCTTGCTTTTCTAAAAGATCCCACTTGTAGGAAATAATCAGATGCATATTTAACTGTGAAATCCTGTTCCGAAAAATATTGTTTTCATGAACTTCGGTAGTAGTTCATGTGGGTGTAGTAGTTCATGGTGTGTGTGTCTTTGTGTGTATTTAATTATCAATCATTTTTGCATTACATATTCATTATTCCCATGAGTAAGTAATAAAATATAAATTATATGTTTATATTTATTAATAGGGAACTAGAAAAATAAAAGGGAAATGGGACAATCAGTTTACTCATCACAGATGTATTATATCCTAGAAGCAAAGTCCTGTGAAGATATCCAATGCAGTGGTGGAAAAAAATGTTTATGGGACTTCAAGGTTGGCAGAGGCCGGTGTTCCCTCTGTGATGAGCTGTGCCCTGACAGTAAGTCGGATGAGCCTGTCTGTGCCAGTGACAATGCCACCTATGCCAATGAATGTGCCATGAAGGAGGCTGCCTGCTCCTCAGGTGTGCTGCTAGAAGTTAAACACTCTGGATCTTGCAACTGTAAGTGCGATTTGTAACCTTGGTGCAATTTAAGGCATTCCCAGGCAAGCTCTAGGGAATGGACACTTGAAAAGCACGCAAACCTCCCCACATAAACCCATTTCTGTGTAAGTTAGGTAGCTGCTAAATTTCACCAACAATTCAATGATCCATAGAAAAAAATTCTCTGCAATGTTTCCTGGCTTTTAGGACTTACCTGATGATCATCAATTGCGTTGCTCTAAAAACTTGTTTCCAGTTGTTTGCCCCTAATTCTTTTGCTGTAGTAGTATGCTTTGCTGTTTGCTTCATTAACACTTGAATCTAAACTAACTGCTTCAAAAGTTATGTTTTTCCCCCCCAAGGACAGTTTTATATTATCACACAGGGGCCACTGCCTCTACTAACTCTGAATTAAGGACCCAAAGCAGTTATACATAGAACACGAGCGCTTTTTATCTAATTTCAGGAATCTGCCCGTAAAACCTGAGCCATTGATTCTTCAGAACTTTCTGCAGTTTTTGACTTCATAGATTTATGGTTTTTTTTAATTAAAGTTATTGCATAAAAGCAGATGCCAAAAAAAAAAAAAATCTCACTACAAGTCACATAAAAATGCAGCGTTGTAATATGGCTGTATCAGAGGGCTTTGAAAACATACACTGAGCTGCTTCTGCGCTGTTGTTGTCCATATTTAAACAACAGCTCCCCTGTATTCCCCCATCTAGCCATTTCGGAAGACACCGAGGAAGAGGAGGAAGATGAAGACCAGGACTACAGCTTTCCTATATCTTCCATTCTAGAGTGGTAAACCCTCCACCAGTGTTCAGTGTTGACATGCCTTTGGGCAAAAAACAAACAAAAAAAAAAGAAAATATATTGTCCATACTGTAAATAAGTGTATGCTTATTTATTTGGGGGGAAAAGTATACATTAAAGGACATTTGTCCTAAACTCTCTCCCAGGCCACCTTGTTACTCATTGGGCACGGAGAGGCGGTCATTGTGAGGTCTACTGGATGAGGCCCATAGTTGAGACTTGTAGACATTTATTTATACTGTGTCATGTTTTATAATTTATACATAAAATGTCTGGTTGACTGTACACCTTGTTTTTGAAGAAGTTTATCAGTGAAAGGAAGAGCAGTTGTTATTTATTGTGAGGTCTCTTGCCTGTAAAGTAAAAGCTTTTTTTTTTCCCCCTTGTAAACCATTTGAGTCCATTCCTTACTATCCATTCACTCATCTGTCTCCCTTCATTTCACTGTTGTTAGATTCTTTTCCACTTTTAACAAACTTGCATGTCAGTTTCTGTCATGTTTATTTATTGGATTCTCTGCTGCCTGATCTGTACATACATGATCCCTCGGGTTTTGTTTACAAGGAATCTTGACTGACCAAAAGGCATTATAACTCTGACTCAAATACAGGTACAGAGGAAAGGCACCTTTAAGGAAATTCCTTCATTCAGTTCTCTTGTTCCTATGAAGACTTTTATAAGTGGGTGAGAGCAATGTTAGACTTCTAACATCCTTTTAAGATGTTACAGATCCAAAGAAATGGAGTGATATGGGTGTCTAAAGGAAGGTGAAGGCTACACATTCAACCTTTTAGGTGTTTCCTTTACGCTAGTCGACTGTACCTTTTAAATTAGTTTTTTCAGCCAATGTGTCACTGAAAGTCCTATCAAAGCTTTATCAGTTCAAGTTTCTTGCTTTTCATAATACTTTTTTCTGATGCAATTTTATATTTTCAAACATGGCAAGTTAAATATAAATTCATTTAAATATATAGTTTTGTACTTTTCTACCATGTAAATGTGCAATGTATATAAAAGTTATAATGTGTATTTGTAAATAAATGATGAGTGAAAAAATAAAAAAATTTTAAAAAGCCAATGGTCTCAATTCCTGTTGATTCAAAAGAAGATATTTGGGCTTCTAAGTAAAAATGTATGTGAAGCATTTGCTATGGGATATGGTTATCATTGGAATTAAGTGGCCAAGGCAATTGAGTCTCCAAAATGAGGTAGTTACAAATCACTTAAGTGGACCTAGAAAGATAAAGGGATCTAAGGTCCTACAACCCTTTTGCAAGAGTAACATATATGTGGGGCTGGGCTTATGGCTCAGCGGTAGAGTGCTCACCTCACATGTGCAAGACCCTGGGTTCGATCCTCAGCACCACATAAAAATAAATAGATAAACAACTGAAATAAAGGTGTTGTGCCCAAGTATAAAAAAAAATGTATATATATAAAGAGTAACATATATGTGTCCCCAGCCACAGAAGAAAGACACTATCAATGTGGGTCCTCCCTATACCATACCTAACGTTTCCATTTGAAAATACCATCTTAACTGCTTGGTGCCACAGCCAGGAGTCCCCAATATATACCATGGTCCTTAACTAAATAAAATAGCCCACGGATCTTTACAAAGCAACATCACAAGGAAAAGTAAAAACAGGTCAACAATATTTAACAAGCACCTTCTTGAAATCAATTGCAGAAATGGGTGTTATAGTATTGGAATTCTAGAGACTGGGTGAGATGAGGATGAGTGAAGGTGGATTTCTACAAACTAGTTAATCTTCATGAAGATTAAATAATGACATGCAAAGTAGAGGAAAGGCTGTCAATATTTTGCAGTTTATGTTATACATTACTAAAGCCTTGGAATGGCATTTAGGGCATTAATCAGGGGTCCTTTAATACATGGCAATATATAGGAATACATAAGTAGATAATCAACACATGTTTCCAAATTGTTGTGTGCTACTTACTCAAAGCCTAAATATATTAAAACAGCAAAGTGCAAGATGAAAAGAAGCGAGGAATAGAATTGGGAAGGAAAAAGCAAAGAGTCAATGTTACCAACACTGCTAAACAAATATTCTTACTGGAGTAATGCTAACAATTATTACCAAAGTTCAATAGCTCTCAACTATGGCCACCAAGTGAGAGATTTAGTGGAGGAGGAGGAAGCTCTTTGGTAGCCAGAGTTTATTTAAATGATTAGGAGCCTGTAGGGTTTTGTTGTGTTTTAGCCCTGAGTTCCAAGAAAAAAGAGGAAGGAAGTGCAGAGAACAAACAGGTTGCATTAACCACAAGAAGAGTTGTATCTTCTCCAGCATGAAGGAGCTACCTGTTTGCCATTGAGGCTCTCAGGAAAGAAAGCAGGGCAGGCAGATGTGCTTCACAACCCTTCCTGGAATTGATTTGTTGCTTGATCTTGAGATGCTACACATGCTTTGAAATTGCCATCATTGATCAGAGTAAAAACATCAAATTTAATAGGAATAGATATGTGTCTTGGCAAGCAGGAGTGAAAAAAATCAACAGCTTGCCTTTTAAACAACACCCAGATTATTTCTTTAAAATTTTATTCTGTATTTGTCAGCATCAATCATTCCTCCTAAACACTAATATCTCATTTTCCTTCTTGGAGTTTCATACTTGTGTAGTAATCTTATTAGTAGTACCAAAATGTGTGTGTATGTGTGTCTATATGGTAAGTCTTTCCATATGCTAGACAAATGGCATATCATTGAGGTATCTTCTCAACCCTTTAAGACATTTCAAATTAAAATTAATATCATTAGGTGATTTGATTGCTAGAACCTAAACTATGTTTCAAAAGGTCAAATTCACTTAGTATATAATGTACTTAACATAAGTAGTTATTACTCACTAGTTTTTAGTCACTAGTTTTTATTAATATGACTCATATTAATCATTATTGGAAACTGTAAAATATAAAATGATAATGAAAAATCAATCAGAAGTCTAATTTTCATCAGATGTGACCTATATTAAGATGTATACTATATCAGACATGGTTCCTCAAGTATGGCAAAAATATAACTTGGCAAAATTAAATGCACCCTCATATGGGACACCAAAATGACTCTAGACTAAATTATTTTACCTATGCTATGAATAAAAATATCGGGCCAATTAGCAAAATCAGGATACCATCCAAAGATTAAAGTATTGCATCAATGTAAAATTTGCTGAAATTGATTACTGTAGTATAGCTAGATAAAAGAATATACCTAAGCCTGCTACTATGGTACATGCCTGTAATCCCAGCTATTTAAGAGGCTGAGGCAGAAGGATCACATGCTCAAGGCCAAGTTGGGCAATTTAGCAAGACCCTGTCTCAAAATAAAAAAATTAAAAATACTGGAAATATAGCTCAGTGAGAGCCCCTCTGGGTACCAAAAAACAAAAACAAAAAAAGAATAGTCTTAGAGTCAGGAAATACCCACTGAAGTGTTTAGGAAAAAAGGTCAAAATGTTTATAATTTATTTTTTAATGATTTTTTAAAATCACATTATCACATTTGCGAGTGTAATATATTCGAAGAGAGTAAAAAATGACACATGTTAACAATAAGGGTATCAGAGTAAAAGATCTATGGGATTTTTTTAATACTTTTTTTTTTTTTGCAACTTTACTGTAAGCTTGAAAACATGTACAAAATAAAAAGTTAAAATTTTTAAAAGTTGACTTCAAGAAGAGGTACACAGCACACTGAGTGCTCCTCTTCATTTTCTAGGGAAGTGAGTGAAAAACCATGTCACATGACCAAAAGACTGGGAAATAATTCCAATTATTCCAATAATTCAGCAAATCTACTCAATGAATCAAAATTGGAGTTGAGAGAATTCCTGACAACTAAACCATACCCAAACTGAGAAACAGTCTTTTCCTTTCTGTAACCATCATAAAATTAAGAGTGATTAAGACCCTCCAAATACTCAACACCCCTATTATCCCTACAACTTGCCATATATTTTTTGACAAGTCATTTAATATCTCTGTGCCTCAGTTCCTCTTCGGTGTAATCAGACTAATGGAAGTGCCTCCCTCATAAAGATGTCTTGAGAATTAAGAGATAAGGCATGTAAAGTGTTTATTTAAAAGCCTGGCACATAGAAAAGTCATTATTGTAATAATTGTTATTAAAGAAAAAAAAAGTGGTATTGTCACCAGACAAGAGATGATATTGGAAAATGGTTCGAGGAGTTGCTGGAGTGGGGAGACTCAACTCAGGACAAGTGGGGTGCTTGGTGTGAAATAGAAAAGAATTTCAGTTTGCTCCAGTCAGAAACAAATAGAGATTTATTTAGGAAAGCAGATATTCATTCTTCTTCCAAAACAAACTTGGTGAGGGTTGAGGATGGGACGGTATATAGGGATGACATCAATCTGATGGTCATAGGATGGTTTATGATGGTCTAGTCATTCTCAGGATTCTTAGGGTTATGTGATTGATTTTCATTATCTGATCAGTTGATAATACTAGAAAGGCCCCTCAATTATAATTTTCTTAAAATATCATACCTCTTTTTGTTTATTCTGCTTATTGGTAGGCAATTAACACTACACAAATTTTCACAAGTGTATGAACTTACAGTAAATCTAAGAATTATAGATTTCCCAGAAATTTGGGAGTGACGAGCCGGGGAGAAGAACTAATCTGGAGAATGACATGACTGGAAAAGTATGAGGGACTTTAAATTAAAATTATATTTCCTCATCCTTCCTTTATGTCTCCTTTCTACCTACCTATTCCT